CAGGCAGATTAATGAAGCATTCCATATTAAAAAAAAAAAATTATGTGTGGGATAACCTTGGCACAGGGCCCTGGGGAACCAAACACATTGCTTGGGGAACTGGCCTGTCCCAGGAGGGCTGTTGTAACCAAAAGGCCAGCTAATATGTCCTCCTCTGTTCATGTCCAGGGCACACTCAGGAGTTTGACTGTGTCCTTTTAGCTCTGTAGCTTGGGGACAGAAGCATCAATGCCTATGTGGGCGATTGGCAAGAACAAGGAGTGGACCTCAGAAACACCTGTCTATTCTCAAATTGCATCTCTGCCAGGTATACTTGGCGTGTGAGCTGGCTGCCTGCCTTTCACTCTCTAAGCCTCAGTTTCCTTACATGTGGGGTGGGAGAGCTATAGGATGATTTGGAGGTCAGGCAGAGAGGAATGGCCCTGTGAACTCTCCCGGGCCAGGTCCTCAAGCATTAGCCCAGCTCCTCCCTCGCACTGGCCCCACTGCTTGAATGCCTGGCATGTTCGCCAGCTCTTCATCTCCATCTGCACTAATTTGTCTTCAACAACTCTTACCTGTATCATCGGAGTCACTTAAACACGACACGTCTTTACTAAGCACGCTATGTTCTGGGTACAGGGTCAGGCCTTTGGGGTGTAACAGTGAGCAAGCCAGTCTCCTTTTAGAGAGCATAGCAAGATTAAAGCCAATGTGGGGTCTTGGGGGATGGAGAGTTGGGATCCTGGGGAGTCACGAGGGGGCAGCCTGGACAAGACCATCGATGTGTGTTTGAGCTTGTCAAGGAATTCACCCCGGTCATAGGGGACCCTTGCCAGGGGTGGTCAAAAAGTAGACTTTGCAGCTCAAACCTTGGCTCAGCCACTTCAGTTTTGTGCCAGAGCAAGGCATTACCTCTCGGTAAATGTCCCCTTGGTATCCTTGTCACAGGGTGGGCATGTACCCGCAACCCTACTCACCATTCACACAGCCCCAAAATATGTCCAGGTGTTCCTGGGGTCTTTCATCCTGGAGGCTGCATCTGAGCACCCAGCTTTACATTCAGCTTGAATGAGTGACACTAAAATAATAACAGGGCAAGCAGAGGGCATGTCAACGATGCATTTGTCAGTGCCCCAGTACAGTCTTTGCCCACATGAACATTATCATTTGTATCCTGTGCAATTTTCTCTCCTGCTGTTTTAATCTCATTATGCCATAACCATTTTCTTTGTTATTACTGGACGTTCATAACCATAATTTCAACAGCGAAAGAAAATCCACCGATGGGTGTGTGATTGTCTCCTTGTCTGTTCTTGTTCATCATCTTACAGCATTCTAGACTGAGTTCGCTGTTTACAATTAATACAAAGCAAATAATTTTTTCCAGAGCTTTTTTCCTCTAGGTTAATCTCATGGAGTAAATTGCCAAGAATTTGATGAGGGTGAAAAGACCTAAGAACATAAGGATCTTGGCACATCAATCTTGATACAATTTAAAGGGAGTGTGACACTGTACACCTCACCTCCAGTAATGTTTCAGGGGCTACTCCAACATGCCTGCCAGCATTGGTTATTTTATTGTCTTATTTATTTCATGGATACTGCTATAGTTTGGATCTTAAGTTTTCCCCAAAGGTCCACATGTTAAAGATTTTGTCCCCAGCATCGTTCTATTGGGAAGGAATAAAAATTTTTTAAATTATTATTTTTTTTTCTTGCCAGGTGTGGTGGCTCACACTTGTAATCCCAGCATCTCAGGAGAATCATGAGTTCAAAACCAGCCTCTGAAAATTGGCAAGGCCCTAAACAACTTAGCAAGACTCTGTCTCAAAACAAAAAGGGCTGGGATGTGACTCAGTGGTTAAGCACTCTTGGGTTCAATCCGATGTACCCCCCCCAAAAAAAAAGACTAAATACTAATCCATTTGTATGGATAGACTACATTTTATTTATCCATCAGTGGACACTTCAACTGCTTTATCATTGACTTCGGATTTTTTTAAGTGCTGTTGATCAAACCCAGAGCTTTGAGCATGCTAAGCGAGTACTCTACTACTGAGCCATATCCCCAGACTTCATCACTGGCTTTTAAAATTACTCTCAGATGCCTGGTGTAGTGGTGCACATCTGTAATTTCAGCTACTTGGGAGGATGAAGCAGGAGGATCACAAGTTCAAGGTTGGCCTGGGAAACTTAGCAAGACCCTGTCTGAAAATTTTAAAAAAAATAAAAATAAAAAGGGATGGGGTAGAGCATCCTAGACTCAGTCCCTAATATCACAAAAATTAAAAAATTACTCCAGGATATTCAAACAATGGAATATTATGAGGCAGAAAAAAAGTCTCCTGTCCTGCTATGGAAAGATCTCCCAAATGCATTGTTAATGGAAAGAGACCAGCACAGGACAGTGTGGATTCGCTGCTAGTTTTTTGTATAATAAAGAGGGGGACTATATATATTTATATTTCCTTGTCCTTGTCCAAAACTAATGAAAGCAAGTACAAGAGGGGTTGGGCTGAGACTTCCACCTCCACAGGCCTCTTTGGCTGTGGTTTTGCACACAGGAACATGATGCACCCCATCATTCTGCATTCTCCCTGATCTCCAGTGGTAGCAGCTCTTATCTCATTTTCTCTTGAATAGTCTCCTGAGATCATCCAACCACAACCAGAGAGTTGCCACTCCTGAAAGAGCATGTTCCCCAGTGGGACAGTCTCTATGCATAATTTTGCCTGTATATTGTCAGCTTTCCTTCACCAGCCCCATGAGGCTGTGCTTTGACCCTCAGTGCCTAGAATGGTGCCAGGAGTCCCTCCATGCATGTATGCAATACCCCTGACAAGCAGAAGAAACCCAGGCCTGGGACCAGCTGGAGACACAATGGGTATTTGGAGGTCAGAGGGCTCCCAGCAGCCCGTCCCCTCTTTATGCATCCCTATGGGTCATGATGGTTTTGCAACTCTCAACCCCAGTCCCCAGGCTGATCTAGCTGCTCCAAAGCACTGCTGAGCCTGAGAACCATCCTTACCAACCCAACCCCATCCATTGTGCCCAGTGCCCTGCATAGAGCGCCCAGTTCCAGGCCACCCCCCCCCCAAGGTACTCTGAGAGCTTCCAGGGTCACTTCTTGAAGGACTCTTACTCAGAAGGGCCCCTCTCTGGCTCCTTCCACCATCTGCCCTGCCCTGCAGAGAAGTTCCCAGTTCACTTCTAGCCCCAGTACTGGCTGATCTATCTTTGAGAAAATTGGACTGGGATCTGGGGAAGGCTCGATGCTGCACTGGAAAGAAGTGTCAGGCAACTGGTGGGATGGAACAGAACTTGACAGCTGATGAGTTATCTGTCCTGTGGAATTACTCAGGCACTGATCTCTGAACATGAGGCAGAGCCAGAGCACCCTGCAGAGCTGGCCACCACTCCCCGCTGAGCATCTGCAGCTCCCTATGTACCCACATATGCATCAGCCACCCCACTGGGAAAGACAGGAGGTGATTTTGTGGAATGTTAGTTTCATCAGCTGAAAATTGAATGCTTACAGCTTAGCTGGGGATGTGAAAATAAAGCTGTGATTGTCACCGGGGTCAGGACTGTGCAGAATGCCAACACACAGATGCCAATCCCTCCCCATGCTGTAGCCCAGTTCCAGTTCCTCTCATAACCACAGGCCCATGGGACAGTCCTCTGAGGGGTTCCCTTTGATCCCCTATATCATCTCTGACTTCCCATGTCCTTCTGTCTCTACTTTTAGGGCAGAGTCACTCAGGGGCTAAAAGAGACAGAAATTAATTAGGGTCTGCTTTGGGGGCAGAAGAGACAGGGCAAGCAGGGGACTCTGTGAGTCCTGTGGTGAGCTCACAGGACTCTGTGATTGAGAATGTAGGGGTGACCCCAACATCTAGGGTGGGGACTGGTTGAACAGTCACAGGCTTGCTCAAGACATGTCACCAACATGAAGGCCTCTTCCCTTTCAAGGAAGACTAGCCTACAGGAATGTGTGGAAGAGACTCAGAGAGAAAACACAGGCTTCCTGAACATGGAATATAGGGAAGCCAGGTCACAGAGGATACACTCTGGTGTTTGTCTAAAGGAGGTTTGGATGAAGATGACAGAATAACAGCCACAGCTGACCTATCTCCAGGTCAGGTACAGAAAAGCAGTGCCTCAGACCTCTGACAAGGCTAACAAGGAGAGTCCACTGATGCCAATCAGAGGTCAGGAATCACGTTGGGACAGGGGGACACTGAGGGAAGCAGAGAAGACCCAACTAAGAAGGGGGCATTTCAACCATGTCTAGAGGGATGGAAGAGTGAAGATGATAGGGAAGCCACCCTCCAGGGGGAACAATGTGTATGGTGGCTCAGAGTTGGAGAAAGCATTGTAGTAGAGTACGTGGCTGGTGCCAGCAGCATGCACTGGAAGGTGATAGGAGGTGATGCTGGACAGGTCAGCTTGTCCAAATCACAAAAATGCTGGGATGCTGGGTACAGAGGGCAGTGGTTTTGAATATACCTGAGAGAACTCCAACTTAAATAGGTATACATATGGAAAAGTCCACAGAGCAACTTCAGGCATAATAGACTCTCCAATGCTGTTTCCCACTTTCCTAGTCCTTAATAGTGATACCAGCTCAGGGGCCCCAGAGGAAACAGAGCTTCCAAGTGCCAAAGAAGTTCTGGGGTTGTGCCTGAGCCCCCAAATTTTGATCAGGCATCTTTGCAGCCAGCGGCAGGAGAAAATATGCTGATTATACAAGACTTGTCAAAATCAACCTTCAGGGAGAGAAACTGGAAGTAGAAAAGAAGTGTTTGGCTCCTGGGGGAGAGTTGAAGGGTTTAACAAGGAGAACAGATGCTGTACTATGAGGTAGGAGGGCCCTGGCAGCCTGCCCAGGAAGCGATCATTGGATTTAAGAGATCACACAGAGGTGAATATGGAAGGCAGAGTCCTTCCAGCTTGGAACCAGCGAACCAGTAGGCTCCCCGCTCAGCTGCACCCCCAATTTCTCCTCGCCATCACAGGCAGGCATGCCCCGGACCCTGAGCACCTCCGACATGGTCACCCCAGGCAGACTCAGCCCACCCCCTACAGAGCCCACCGATGTCGAGCAGGCTGGGCAGCCCTTCCTGGATGGAGCACCATCCTCAGCCTCTCTGGACACCCTGATTCAGCATCTGGTACCCACAGCTGACTACTACCCAGAGGTGGGTGAGCCACCCAGTGGGGAGGAAGGGGAGAGGGGAAGGAAGAAGGGAGGCTCTCTCCTTCACTCAGGAATGGAGCATGCAGCAGGGCTGGGAGTGACCTTGGGCCTGGCGAGGTGGAACAGGCTGGAAATATGTCCTCCCTCCGTGCCCTCTTGTGCTTGTGCCATCTTTCTTGCAGAAAGCTTATATCTTCACCTTCCTACTGAGCTCTCGCCTCTTCATCGAGCCTCGGGAGCTCCTGGCCAGGGTCTGCCACCTCTGTATTGAACAGCAGCAGCTGGACAAACCAGTACTGGACAAGGTGAGGGCCTGGAAGACCAGGGAGCCTCTGAAATCAACCTCTCGGGGAGGCAGTGATTGTCCCTGTTCTCCTGACAAGAAGCCTATTGGGCTTTCTCACTTGTCTGCAGTCCAGGCCCTAAAAGGACAGAGCCAAGGCCTTTTCTGCTATGCAGTTTTCCGGGGCTCTGTGGAAACCCTTGAGCTCACATTGAACCCAGTCCTAGGTTTCCAAAACCCAGTGAATAGTATTCCTGCTCTCTGTGAACTGGGATGGTCCTATGGCCTCCACTAGACTTCCTTCACCCAGTACACTCGATTCCATGTCCCTGCTCTCTGGCGTCTGTTGATAGCCCAGCCTTCCCATGGTTCTTCACATCTTTCCTCTGTTACTGGCCTGATCCTGCCTACTGTCACTATTTATATGCATGTCAGTTAGGTTGTACTGTGATGATGATAAAAACTCAGCTTCAACTGGCCTAAGGCAAGCGGTTCATTTAACTGCCAAGTCTCTGGTACTGCTGCCTCCAGAGGATTAAATGACAGCATTAAAACCTTATCTTCCTCATTCTGACCCTCTGCTGTGGTTTTCTCTGGGTTTGCTGGCCTCATTCTAGCTCTTGCAGGTTCTCCTGCGTGGTGACATGCAGCCTCTATCAGCAGGGACACCTTCTAATCTCAAGAACTAGCCCCTTTCTCCACAGGCCAGTAAAAGTCCCAATCTCATTGACCTAGCTTAGGTCACATGCCCACCTGTGAGCCAATTATTACATAAGATGGTGTTTTCTGCTCTGATTGGCCAGCGCTGAACCCCAGGTTCCACCCCTGGGGCAAAGTCAGCTGTTCTAGAACACAGTGTGCCTGAATGAGCAGGGAAAATTGAGATGCTGTCACCATAGAAAGGGAGAAGGGATGCCAGGAAAGCAAAATAGTCTGGCCCCAAAATATGTGTCTGTTCCCCTCTTGCTCCCCCATAGTGCAGCCTAGGCCTCTCCCCTCCCTTCCCAGTGCCCTATCCCTGTTGCCCCTCTGCTTGCCTTGCAGGCCCGTGTTCGGAAGTTTGGCCCCAAACTGCTCCAACTACTGGCCGAGTGGACAGAGACCTTCCCGCGGGACTTCCAGGAGGAGTCGGCCATCGGGCATCTGAAAGATGTGGTGGGCCGCATAGCTCCCTGTGATGAGGTGGGCAAGCCTGGATAGAAGTCACTTTGCCTTCTCTGCCCCCTCATATCCAGGCCTGAGCCTGTTTCTTGTGGCTTCCTAGGTCCCCTGATCTCCCAGCTTTGCACACTGCATGCTGTAAAACCAGCCCCTTTGTGACCCATCAAGGAATCAGGTACTGAGGGGCTATGAGCTAATCCAGGCCTCTGGTTCCAGGACTGGTTTCTTGACCTCTCTGTGCCCTGCCCTCATTGACGGCATCAGGTGGCCAAGAAGGGAAGACCTACTCATGGGTTCTTGTGGATGCATAGTCAGGCTGTTGGTCTGTGACCCACCAGGCCACCTGGAAGGGCCACATCTTGGGCCTGTGCCACAGAGGTCTCCCTCCTGCCTCTGTGCTTGATCCATCTCAGGATTATGGGACAATGGTTTAGGATGTAGAATAGAAAAAGGTCAGGGAAGAGTTGATGATTTGGATGGATGGGAAAAGGAGAGAGTGGAAGCAGGGAAGAGGGATGCTGGCTAACTTGGTGGACAGTTAGGTGCTTTTATGGATGGATATAGGGGAGGATAGGTGCTTGAGTAATTTGCATAGGCAGGTGGATTAATGGAGTGAATGAATGTGGAAAGACTGATGGAAGGAAGGGAGATGAAAGGGGGGAAGGTGAGTGGATAGATGGGTGAAAAGGTGAATGAAGGGTGGGTGAATGGGTAAACATAGAAAGGTAGGAGGAAGAATAGATTAGTAAATTGGTGGATCTGTGGGTAAGTAACTGTAAAGGGGGAGGTGGGTGATAGCACATGAGTCAGGAAGAGATGGGTACAGGACTATGATAAGTGATGGTAAGTGGTGGATAGGTGGGTGGGTGGATGGGTAGATGGATGAGTGAGTGAGTAGGTGAAGTAGGATGAGTAAACTGATGGACCTGTGGGTACAGTGGTAACTGTCTGAAAGGGAAGGTGGATGATAGCACATGGGTAGAGAAGAGATGGTACAGGGATGGTGGGGAGCTGCATGGAGCAGAGTAAGTGAGGTGGGAGCTCCATCTCCTGCTTCATCCCCACTCCCTCCAAGATTTCTTTGGCAGCAGTGAGATCTGAATCATATGATGAGACAGGGTTATTTGCCCTTATCTGACCTGCCTGACATTGTCTCAGGTGCCAGGGGACAAGCTGGTTTTCCTTGGGAAGCCATGACCTCTTCACTATTCTGAGAGTGTCAGGCCTATCACCAAGACTATGTGGTGTGGACCAGAATGGGAGTTCCCTGGTCTCTATCCCATACCCCCAGGCCTAAGCCAGGGATGCTTCCTACGTCTTCACTGTCCCCAAGTCACTCTTCCACAGAAGGTATCCAATCTAAAGAGGATGTCCTCTCTGCACTGGTTCTCTATGCTGGATATTTCCTGGTGGGTGGCAGGTTGTTCCCCTCCCAGCACCACACAGGCTAGTATGGGAAGAGCAATGAAGCAGACTGTGAGTCAGTCCCGTAGGGCTCAGAGCCAGGGGATTTAGATCATATTACTTGAGCCCAGATCCAGTCTCAGCAACCACAGCCGTGTGGCTTTGGGCAAGGTACTTTGCCTCTCTGAGCTTCAGTTTTCTCATCAGTAAACCAGAGACATTCACCACTGCCACTATGCAACTTGGCAGCAAGGAGGTCTGAAGTTATTTCAGCACTTAGTAATTATGAGCTACAATGAGAAGCAAATTGTTCCTCAAATTCAGGCATATGAGAATTATTCTTTAACTTCCGTGAAACATTTCAAAAATACCCAAGCATAAAGAAGAGTAACCATGAACTCCTCTGTACCCATCACTTATTCTCAACAGTTATCAAAACTTTGACAAACTTGTTTCCTCTGTGCCCTCACACACTTCCACCTCTCTATAAATTAGCTGTAACCAAATCAAGACGATTATATCTTTTGCTCCAAAAACATTTGCTCATTATTGTTTTGTTTTGTGTATATGTGCTGGAAATCCAACTCAGGGCCTCCAGGGATGCCAAACACACATCTACCACTGAGCTCCACCCTCAGCCCTAGCATTGTGTTTATAAAAGATTTCTCACACAGGGAAAGAATTAAATGAAATAAAGTGCTGTGCACAAGGTCATGAGATGGGCATGGGTATTTTCAGAGCTACATATCTTTGAGCAAATTACTTAACCTCTGTGAACCTTATGTTTCTTTCTATAAAAGGAAGAGTGATAATTCCTCCCTTATGGGACTATGGGAACAAAGGGACCCAGGGTTGTAGAGGAGACAGAATGGTTGGAGATGTCATAGAGGGTGAAACCAGAAAGCAAAGAGACATGATGAATGGTGTAGCCACTCAGGAGACACTGGCTGTGCACTGGAAACTGGAAGGAAATGTCAGGTCTCACAAGTGACTGTGTCACCAGGGCTGGCCATGCTGCATCTAACTTAACCATCTTCCCAGCACTCAATGAGAACCTACAAGGCAGCATTTTATTACACTTTTGGTGCAGTGTTGCTGAGAGAGGCCATTCCTTCGGTGAGCAACAGACAGAAGAGTCGGACCTCAGTCTACCCACTGACTGGTTATTTCCCAAATAACCAGTGGACACCTTCTGCGTCTGACCCCTGTAGCTCTAGGAGTTTGGGTTAGGTTTAGGATTAGAGTTAAGATTAGGATTAACTGCCAGGGGTAGAGGGCAGCAGTGAGGCTAGTCAGGTTAAGTGCGCTCTTATCCTGTCCCCTGTATCCTGAGGCTTTGCCATAACCACCCATGGCCGCTTCACAGAGAAGTAGTTCCACGGACCAGAGAGGACAGCCTCATCATCACCACAGCACTGGGCACCAACAAACCTCAGACATCAGCAGCACTCATTAAACCCTAAGAGACTGCAAGGAACTGTTGAGGCCCAAAGCCACTCACAGCCCAGTAAGTCAGACACTGCAGCTACAAAATGTCACTGGGTTTGTGCATTTCAAAATAGCAAGAAGAAAAATTCACCTTTACTTTCTTAAATTACCTGACTATACCAACTATTCACTAGCCTATTGTTTTCTGAGACTTCTGGTCCCTGTTTGTCTAGTTGATGTTTCATCATTGCTGGGAGGCCATGAACTCGGCTCTCTTCTGCTAGCACCCAAATCCTTGGTTCATAGGAAATTGCATGTTTCTCTAGGGGTGACATTTCCTACAGGCTCATGAGCTCAGGGGCCTGTTCTATGGGTTATTGACCCAAACCCTTGGGGATATATGGATATTTCTCTTCCAGCCAGGCTATTGGTATATTTCTTTAGAAATAGAGGTCTCTGAAGGGAAAAAATGATCACTTTCTCCTTGGGAGTAGAAGGGTAGGTTCCCCTTGGCCTACCCTGGAAGAAGGGCCATGGCCTTTCATCCTTCCATCCAGCCCAGGGCATGGTCCAGAGCAGGAATCCATCTGTCTGAGCTGAATGATGAAGGGACTCTGTTGGTAGGTTATTGAGCACCCACTACATTCACAGAACTGGGACAGACTCTGATAACATAGAGAAGACAACACAGAATTCCCTGCCTCTCTGGAACTGTCATTCTGGGGTTGTGGGGGAAGTGGGTAATAAACAAACCTGATTATCCCTGATAGTGAGCCTATAAAAGAAGTCACATAGAGAGTTACAGAATACTGCCAGGGTAGAGGGCAGCAGTGAGGCTGGTCAGGAAGTTCTCTCTGAGCTGGGCTTAAGATTTAGAAGGGGTCACTCTTAAAGCCAAGACAAGGGACAGTTATCCAGGGCAGGATCTGTTCCATGTCTTCCTTCCTCTCTTCCTTCCTTCCTCCAGATCCCTGGCAGCACACCCCCCATTCTGCCCAGCTGCCCAGACAGCGTGCTTTGAGCCCCACTGGCCTCCCTGATATGTGCTCTTCTCAGTTCCCACCAGTAATCCTGGAGCTTTCTCCTCAACTGGCCTTCACTTGACCCCAGCTCCCACATGCCTGGGGTTGATCCTATTTTAGGTTGAGGGCAGGTCCCAGCACATTTGCTGGTATCTGGCCTTTTCTGTAGAGCCCTAATGGACCCTGTCCACCTCAAAGGTAAAAATGGGTATTCAGACCTGAGCACCCCTTCTTACCCTCCCCCCATGCCCCACCAGGCCTACCGGAAAAGGATGCATCAGCTCCTGCAGGCCCTACACCAGAAGCTTGCAGCTTTGGGCCAGGGATCTGAAGGCTTCATGGGTGCTGACAAGCCCATCTCCTACAGAACCAAGCCACCAGCCTCCATCCATAGGGAGCTCCTTGGCATCTGTAGCGATCCCTACACGCTGGCCCAGCAGCTGACCCACGTGGAGCTGGTAAGCAGGCAATGCTGCTCTTTACCCAGGGCAGGAAACAACTGGGAATCCTACCCAATTGATGGGCCACCACTCGTCCCTCTGCCCTCCCTACTTGGTCTCAGGATAACCCTGGATCAGGCCCTTCACAGCACTGGCAGTCAGCATCTGAGACTATCCTGGAGCAGTCAGTTTCCCAACACTCCTGGAGCCTGGAACAGGAGGGCTGGAGGTGTCAGCCTCTGACCTGTCTGAGGATTTAGCTCTCGAATGAAAGAACTGGGTTCACATTTCAGCTCTGATACCACCTGTTGGTGATATCGGTACTAGTGACTTCCCCATCCAGGGCTCACATGGACTCATTGCTCCCTGTTCAGCTTTCCAGAGCAGCTCCACAGGCTTTTTACCTGCTCATAAAGGGAATTTCTTTGCCCAGCCAAAGAAAGAGGAACAAGAGGAGTGGGTTTCTTCCCTTCTACACCTCCACCATTATGGCACTCTGTACTCACCATAGTGCTTACATGCACTTCCCATTGCACTGCAGGGTTGAGAAATGTTACATGATTTGCCAGAGTTCACAAGCAGAAGGCACAGAGCCAGGATTTAGTTCTGACCCAGATACTATGCCTGGCCACCAGGTCTCCCTCCCCCACCCAAAGAGCTGGTCATTTCAATAACCTGATTTTGAGCCTGGTACATTGCTTCGTTTACCCACTCCTCCATGACCTGGGAAAGGAGGGGATCTCTCCTTCAGGGATGGTGTTGAACTCTGTGAAAACAGGATCTCTAAGCCCCCGTGTGAAGGGTGACTGCAAACAGATCCTCATGGTGGGGGGGTGGGGGGTGGGAAGAAGGTCAGGGAGTCAGGCAGGAGCACCCACCCTACCACACCCCCAGCAAGCCCTTCTTCCCCAAACCTTCCGTTTTTCCGACCCCTCTCCCTTCTGATGCAGGAACGACTGCGACACATCGGACCTGAGGAGTTTGTCCAGGCTTTTGTGAACAAGGACCCTCTGGCCAGTACAAAGGTAGAAAGAAAGCTCTTGGACAAGCTGTCCCAGCAATGACCCTCCTCGCCCCCATCGTGTGGGCGGCCACGGTAGGGGCGAACCCAGAGCGGGATGGAGGGTCTTTGGAGGAGTCCTACCCACTCACTCACGCACCTCCAGCTGAGACCTCGATAGTCCCGCGTCTTGGGGAAGCCTAGAAGGCTAGACGTGCCCTGGGTGGGGAGAAGGGAGGACCGCGGAGGGAACCCCCGGCGCGCTCCAGGACCGCGCGGACCCTCGCTGTGCGTTTCGATGGGCGCTGATGCCCTCCAGCGGCCAGTCGGGGAAGCGCGGGCTGGTAGGTGCTGCGGGAAAAGGAAGGGAAGAAGGCGCTCAGGACACCGTCCCCCACACACCTGGATTTTGAGCCAGTCCTTCCCTTCTAAGGAGCCCAACCAGAGGGTCCCTGGTGCTTAACAACTGGCTAAATCCGAACCAAAACTGAAAACATTCTGTCTTGTACTCTCACACCTAATAAAAGAAGTACAAACTAAATTCTGTAGTATGTGATTGCATTTTCACCCTTTAGATAAGCAAAGATCACATAGTAGGATAGACATATTGGGGATATGTAGGAAAGCGGCATTCTCCTACACCATTGGTAGCGGATGAAATTGTCGCAAGGCTTTAGAGAGCAAATAGGCAATAGTAGATCAACAATTTAAACGTCCTTCTTGCCGGGCGCAGTGGCGCGCGCCTGTAATCCCAGCGGCTCAGGAGGCTAAGGCGGGAGGATCGCGCATTCAAAGCCACCCTCAGCAACTTAGTGAGGCCCTAAGCAACTCAGTGAGACTCTGTCTTTAAAGAATATAAAATTATAAGAGGGCTGGGATGTGGCTCAGTCGTTAAGTGCCCCTGGGTTCAATACCTGGTACCAAAAAAAAAAAAAAATGTACTTCCTTTGGCGGGGATGTAGCTGAGTTGTAGAGCACTTGCCTAGCACACATGAAACCCTGGGTTAGATCCCCAGCACCAAATAAATAAATGTACATCTTTGGTCCAACTTTCCACAGCTAGTAATTTATCTACACATTCATGTAACACAAAGATGAACATATACAAAGGTATTTGGGGTATTTGTCATGGTCAAAGACTGGAAGCAAATAATTACCTTATCACCCGTGGACACTGACTTAAAAAGTATAGTACATCCATCAGTAGAATGCTTTCAAGTATGAAAAAGAATAAGGCTGCCCACAAGTATGCAGTCATCAAGATCCATCTATCCAATCACCAAGAGAAAGGGGTAGAGTGACAAACAGGGCATGTGACCATTTGTGTAACAACAAAAAAAGAAGGCTTTGTGATACATCAAAGCTCACACGTGTGCAGAAATGACCTCTAAAATGGGGAGGACAACCATGGGACCATGGGACTGAGGGCAATAGGAACAGGAAGGAGACTTGGCTACTTTTTGAGCGTGTGTGTGTGTGTGTGTGTGTGTGTGTGTTGTTTGGCCATTTACAAGTATTTCCTTTTTATTGTGAAATTCATCTAGATTACACATGACATTTATTTATCCCACCCAATTGTAGATGAACAGTTGTCTTATTTCCTTCTTTTTGCTATTATAAATTATACTGCTGTGAGCATTCTTACATGCGTTTCCCTGGATACACCAGTGAACATTTTCTGTGGGGTACCACTTCTCTAATGTTTTGGGGTCAGGATCCCTTTATATTCTTAAAAATTATTGAAGACCCTAAAGAACTCTTGGTTAATAATTGATTACTTCTATCACTATCATATTAGCAATAAAACTGATTACTTTTTTCTTTCTTCTTTTTTCTTTTTCTTTTTTTTCTTCTTTTTTTTTTTATAGTGCTGGTGATCAAACCCAGGACCTTGTACATAATAGTCATGTGCTCTACTACTGAGCCAGACTCCCAATCCCAAAACTGATAACTTTTAAAAATATTTACTCACAAATACAATAACCCATTGCATGTGGACATAAGTAACATATTTCATTTAAAAATTGCATTTTCTGCAATAGAAAATTCTTGAAAAGTGATGTTGTTTTATAAAATTTTTACAAATCTCTGTAATGTCTGACTTCATAGAAGACAGCTGATTTCTTTCATCTGCTTCTGTGTTCAGTCTCTTGACATATACTATTTTGGTTTAAGGAAATATAATCTCACATAGATATGTAGTTGGAAAATTGAGGAGTATTTTGACAGCCTTTTCAGATAATTGTGAATATTCTTGTTAGATACTGCACTAAAACTCAGCCAGTAATAGTTTTTAAAGATTAATTATAATGTGACATCTGAAAATATTATCAATGATCTTTCTGAATGCTATGACATCCATTACATCTTGCATCTTGAGGGTATGATTTTATAACATCATACATTGATCATTTAGAATATGAGGAAACGTTGAGTTAGGCAGATCTTCCAAATGTTGGCACATTTTATTGTATAGTACTTTAAAATCACATTCATTAATATCAAGAGAAAAGGGTAGAGTGATGAACAAGGTATGTATACACTCCTGATCTCATAATTTTAAAAAATGTCTGTAACTGCGGTATAGCTTAGTGGTAGAATGTATGCTGAGCATGCGCGAGGTCCTGGGCTTGATCCCCAGAACCACCAAAAAAAAAAAATGTTGTTTAAAATGTGTTTTTTTTTTTTTAAGAGTATGTAAATATTGAGAAGCTGTCAAGCCACATAAGCAGATACATGTTTTACAAGTTCCCAATTTTCTCTTGAAATCTTGAATTTTATCACTGGCAACAAATACTGGGATCTGTTTTCCTTGAAGTGACAGGTTCATTTTGTTCATTTTTAAGAAATATCAGCCAAATACTGAAATCTGGAGAATGAGAGTTTGTCTCATAGAGTTCATCTGTTAGTCTTTTTTTTTAAGTAAAAACAGAATTCAGTGGAAACAATGGCCAGTTCAGTGCATGGGTGAGCCAAGTCCTGCCCTCAAGACAACCCCACACTTGAGTATACAGTGAAAGTGCTCGATACTGATGCCCCATTTTGTCATACTTGAATAAGAAACATGTACTCACGGGCTGAGATTGAATAGAATAGTGTTGCCTCTTTAAGGACATCCATAAGTCACACTCCCCCCCCCCCGCCATTTTGCTGGGCAATTTTTCCCACCATTGCTTTTGCACCATCAGGGCAGACCTCAACACAGTGGGGAAAAGAATATGATCAAATTATTATGAAAATACTTTTCCCCAGAAAGTATACCAGGAACCCCGAGAAGTCTGTGGACAGCACATTGAGGACTATTGCTCTTCCACATACCTAGGGAGGAGAATTACTATGTCACAGGGTAGGCACGTGGGCAGCCTTTCCAGGTAATGCCAGGTGAGGTAACCTCTTACCTCCCAGTAGGGAGGTATTCTTGTTCCACATCTTCAGTCTTGAAATTGTCAGACTTTTAAGTTTGGAAAATGGAGTATCTTTTCACCTGTTCTGGCCATTTCCGTTTCCTCCTTTTGTGATATGCCCCATCTCTGACTTTTAGCCTGTTTTCTACTGGTGAATTTTCTTAAAAACTTTAAGGAATTTTTTGGTTTTGTTTTTACTTGAAATATGTCCTAGATACTAAACCTTTTATTTTCCTAGTTGTTTTCTTCGCTTCTCATTCTCATTACCATGGCTTTTGATGAACAAGAATTCTTAAGCTCCACCTAAATTTACTAAACTTTTCCTTCAGGATCCTCTGATCTGTGTCAGTACACGTTGTCTTCTTCACTATAGCGTGACGATGTGTCTTCAGGTCCAGTAAAACAAATTCCCCAGGTTCTTCTTGAGGAATGGCGTGGCTATTTTGGGCCTTTTGCCTTTCCATTTAAATTTTAGAATCATCTGTCAAATTATATGAAAAGTCCTACCAAGATTTTGTTAGACTATATTAAATATGGATCAATTTGAGAAGAATTGACAGATTTATGTTATTGACTCTTTCAATCCATAAAAATAGTATGTACTTCTATTTCCTTAGGTTTATTATATATCTTTCAAATGGCTTATAATTTTCTCCATAAAAGTGTTACACAGGTTTTGTTAGACTTTTGCCCTAGGTGCCTTATGTATACTTTTACTACTGCAAATGAAAAAAACCTATTTTCACAGATTATTTTAAAATGTGATTTTATATTTCTGGATGTTCAAAAAGAGTGCATATTCTCAAATAAATAAGCACAGGCTTCCATAATTACTCATTATCTCAACTATGTAGTAATTGTATTTTCTTTTTTATTGATTTTTTTATTTTTTTAAATACACGACAACAGTGGAATGCATTACAATCCTTTTACACATATAGAGCACAATTTTTCGTATCTCTATATATAAAGTATGTTCACATCACTTTATGCTATTATACATATACTTTTTTGCATTACAATTCGTAATACACATATATACCACAATTTTTCATATCTAGTAATTGTATTTTCTATCTGCTTGTTTTGGGTATAAGAAATTAATTTATTTTTTAAAATATGTTTTTTAGTTATTGATAGACCTTTATTTTAATTATCTATATGCATTGCTGAGAATCAAACCCAGTGTCTCACACATGCCAGGCAAGTGTGCTACTGCTAAGCCACAGCTCCAGCCCTGAAATTAATTTACTTTTATGTATCAATTTTATATCTGACAATATTGTAAAACCTTGCTAATTATATTAATGTGTCGCCATTCTTTGGAGGATTTCTTGTAGGCAGGCACATCATCTGCAAATAATTACATTTTGTTTCCTCCTTTCCAAGGCTTATTCTTTTTATTTTCATTGTAGTCGTAGAATAGAACTGACTTGAGGGCTGGGGTTGTGGCTCAATGGTAGAGTGCTTGCCTAGCACGTGTGAGTCCCTGGGTTCCATCCTCAGCACCACATAAAAATAAGTAAAAATGAAGTATTGTGTTCAACTACAACTAAAAAATAAATATTAAAAAAAGAACTGACTTGAGATGGACAGGAAAGGTAGATAAACTTTACTGTATCATTTTAAGTCTCTGAAATATTGAGAGTGTTAGTTGTTGCAGAATAACTCTGCCTGATCCAATAGAATTTGCTTTTCCTGTTTATTGTGCTAACCTGCACTTCTGGTACAAGGTCAAATAGAAGTGTTGATAGCTGACATCCTTCTTTTGTCCTGACTTTAATAGGAATGCTTTTAACCAGTCACAAAAGAGCATGATGTTTGTTATTGGATTTTTTTTTTTTAGATATGCGTTATCAGTTTAAGGAAGTACCCTGTTCCTTCCTAGTTTGCTTAGAGTTCTTATATGTATGGTTATTGAATTTCATCAAATTCTTTTTCTGAACCCTAATACTCTTATGTTCTCTTCTCCTTTAAAACTTTTAAGTGATTATTCATATTAGTTTTTTGAATTAATGTTGAATCAACCTTGCATTTCTAATATACAAAAAACTGGATAAATGAAGCCATTATTTTTTTTTTCAAACATGGCTAGATTTTGGTGTGCTAATGTTTTGGTTAGGATTTCTGCAATTGTATTCATGAGTGAAATTAATCTGTTATTTCCCTTTCTGACACTATTCTTGACTACTCTGTTTCTCTTTCCTTATTCTCTATTTTATATGAAATATTGGGGTACCTGTTCTTGGAGCATTTATAGAATTTACCACTGAGCCTCATTTGTTATTTGAGGTTTTATATACTGATCCAAGGTTTTTCTTGTTTTTATGTTTATTCTAGTTGTTGTTTTAGTGGTTGTAGGACTGCTTATATTTTTATATCTTATAAGTCCATTTTATAATTTATATTCTTTTGAGAATTTGCCCATTTCCCCTAAGCTTTCACACTTATAGACATAAAGTTATACATAGATAATACTTCTTTAATTATCCCTTACATTTCTTCACATCTATATTGATTTATCTTTAATATCCTTTGCTATATATTTCTCTTTGTTTCTTCATCAGTATTTCCAAAATTCATCAATTTTATTAGTCTTCAAATAAAAAGCTTTTGACTGTTGTTTCTGAATATTGCAGCTTTCTTTACTATTGCATTTATTTCTTCTCCAATCTTTACCATTTTCTTCCATTGACTTTCTTTAGATTTATTCTGTTGTTCTTTTTATAATTTCTAATGTTGGATTTCAGCTTATTTTTATCCTTTCTTCTATTCTAGTGAAAGCATAAAAGACTATTCATTCACCTTTCTGATTACTTTGCCTCCATATTTTGACCCTATTTTACCCAGAGTTTAGACTTCTGACATATCCCTGATGAATTGAAACTTTATCGTTGTGGAGTTAGTCTTTTATCTCTTCTAATACTTTTGGTCGTAGATTCCTTTTTCCTTTTTGCTTTAAAATCTCTTTTGTCTGACATTAATGAAGATGCTGCTTGGCTTGAGATGGAGTTACATCCTGATAAACCTATTATAAATTTGAGAAAATGTTAAGTCAAAACATCAAAAGTTGGGAACCATCTAAATAGCTATGTGATATTTATCACATATATTTTTCTATTATTTGCCCTTGAATTTGGGGCATGTTCTTGAAATTGACAAGAAACTGGAATTTTAAAAAATTAAAAGATTGAGGGTGGGGATATGGCTCAAGCAGTAGCGCGCTCCCCTGGCATGTGTGCAGCCCGGGTTCGATCCTCAGCACCACATACAAACAAAGATGTTGTGTCTGCCGAAAACTAAAAAATAAATATTAAAAAATTCTCTCTCTCTCTCTTTAAAAAAAATTAAAAGATTGAGCTTATTAATCCATAAGGATTTACTCTTACTGCCTTCTGTTACACTATTTATTTGTCTCCTTTACATTTTCTATTTCTTTCTCCTTTCTTTACATCTTTTGGATTAATAGATTTTATAGATGTGCATTTAAGGAAGTACCCTTTCCTTCCTAGTTTGCTTAGAGTTCTTATATGAACTTTAATTCATTTAATCCTCCCCACCTCTGTTTATTGAAAGTTATCCTGGCAGTTTTAGCATGCACATTTAAGTTTAATCTGTTAGGCTCGGGTATATGTATACATGAATGTTCTACACCAATTTTATTTTATTTTTCTACACAACTTTTAAAATTATGTCTTCAAAGGATATTTTTTGACCCACGAAAAGATTAATGTGGAAACATATATGTATAATTATAGATACATGCATATATTCCCATGGAGACTTGATTCTCCTTATTTGCAGTAGTTGTGTTCTATAATATCATCTCAGACATTGAATCAGCAAATAATGAACACTTACTTTTAGGGCAAATACAGGGTTACGTTCCTGCAAGATTCTTATCACATTTTGTCAACCTATCAATGTATATAACCCTGTTTTACATGTTTAAAGACACCTTATTTCATATATATGAATATATATCATTGATTAACATTGAACACATGACCAATAGTACAATATGATTCATGAATATTATCAAATAATTTAATTCAAGTTTCCATATTTGTTCTTTACCTCAACTATATAAATATATTTTCTCTGTAGTAAGGCACTTCAGCACTATGCTTGGGAACTTTATTAAACATTTAAATAATTCCCCCAAAAAAGCACAAAAATTGGTGGGGGGAGACTCTAAATAGTCTAAATAGGAAACAGGATACTTACAGTGTGAGGGCTGAAATAAGAAGGCAGAGTGTCCTTTAGTTCAGCCTCAACTGGAAACACTTATGAGTGTTGAGTGACAAATATTTTGGCTCCTCTGCACATACGCATAAATGACCATGAAAACCACACAAGCTATTGGAATTACAAATAAAATTCAGGAAGTAGGCAAATGTGCAAGTATAAAATCCATGAACAATGAAGATCAAATGTGTCTGTGTATGCACACACACATAATTTTGAAATACACCCTTAAATATATAGAAGAGATTGGAAAGCTACATACCAAATCATTGGTGTTTCCAGATGGTTTTGAGATTTTCGCATTGTCCAGATTGTCTATAACCATGAACTGACTTCATGTTCTAATGAGTTACTGACAGAGACTCAGCATGGGGTCCTGTGTGTCTCTTCTAGCCCTGTTTCAATGACAAGACTAACAACCTGGAGGCTTATGTGAAATGGTTCAACAGGCTGTGCTACCTTGTGGCAACTGAGATCTGCATGGTGAGTAGAAAGCCAGGGTGGGCATGACCTGGTATAGGCAAAAGTGGCCTGGGACCTGGAGGAGCCTATCAGGGAGGGAACTAGAAGGGCACCTTAAGCCCCAATAGTCTCTCCTGGCAGTTAAATCTTGACTAAGTCCACCTGAGAATTGGCTAGGCACCAAATGTCACCAAGCTTTCTTGCAGTGACATTTCCCTCAGGGTAGAACCCAGGATGGACCCACTGAGCTCTGTCACCAAGGAAATCTTAATGTTTGCTCAAGGAGTGAGGAGTAGTCACAACTATGCCCAAGGGGCTCTACTGCCTCCATCCATGCCTGTCTTTCCACCTCAGGCAGCCTGGCCTGCAGTGAGGTTTGATTTGGCTTGCTCAGGATTGAGAAGTTGTCCGATTCTTAAGAAATAGGAGAGTACATATAAAAAGTCCAGGTCATTGGCTTCCCCTGGAAAGCAAGGAATCTTGACAACATGGAGCTGGACATGCTTGTCACTGAGTTGAGGGTCCACCTGGCCATGCCTGCCCATCGTCTTTCTTATAGCAGAGGAATCATCCTCTGGACCCACACCAGCACCATAAGGTGAAGCCCTGAGGCCCCTGTCTCAAGAACAGATTGGACAGACTCAGTCTATAAGGCCAGCTGGGCTCACTGGAAGCAGGTGCTCAGAGAGCTTGGGGAACAGATGTGAATGAGTACAGGGGAATCAGGATGCACTGAGGAAGAAGCTGATCTGCAATGCCCACATAGACTGAGGTGGTTTTATCGCCCACCTGGTTTGAGATCAGTATTACCCAGAGGGTTGCCCTTTTAAAGGATAGGATCAATGATAGGTGGCTCTCCAAAGCCAACGTCACATCTTGAAGGGGGCTTGTGTCATGTCCCCACAGGTGCCAGAGCAAACTTCTTGGTGGCAATAGATAATTGCTGCATGTTTCATAGGCAAGGAAAGTCTACTTGTGGAAAAAAAATACAATATAGGGTACCACTGACCCAACCCTCTTCCTAGAATCATGCCATTGGTCTGACAGTTAAAATGGGATTTTATCGTTGTGAAGCCTGGACTAAGCCCACATGGTCACCCAGGAGCCTACCCAGGACAGTGCAGGATGGATGGCTCAGGGGAAGGACACAGTTTGTTTCTGAGCCATGCAGTGGAGGGGCTCAGGGGACAGGGCCTCAGGATCAGCATGTGGCCCCTAATGAGGGGAGAGCAAGCTCAGTACCGGGAGGAAAGGCAAGGGGCAATGTGTTCTGATTTGGGAAAAGAACAGGTGCTAGAGGTGGGCCTTGAGGAAGAGTGATCAAGCTGCTCCCAGAGGTGCCTCACAGCCCATCCTGTGCTGCAAGTCACTCCTGTACCCCCACAGGAGCTCTAGCAGGGCTCAGCTGAGTCTCCCTGGCAGTGGACTATGTCCTGCTCTGCCTGTGAAGTGCTCTGAAACCTTAAGGTTCAGACATTTCCCTGGGCCTCAGCTGTGAAATAGATTTGAAGAAGGTTAAAAGGGCAGGGCAGGTGAGCAGGGTGTCTGATCAGGGCAGAGTAGAAACATATCACTAAGGCTCTGGTGCCCTGTCCCCAGCCAGCCAAGAAGAAGCAGAGGGCCCAGGTGATCGAGTTCTTCATTGACGTGGCCCGAGAGTGCTTCAACATTGGCAACTTCAACTCCCTGATGGCCATTATATGTGAGTGGGTTGCTCCAGGAGCCCCCCCCCCCATGGGAGGATCCTCAAAGAGGTTCAAGTGGGCACAGCCAGGCAGGTGGGGTCAAGCCCAGACCCTCTTCTGAGCAGCAGGTGGGTGTGGGCTTAGCAGTTTGCAGCCTAAGGCAGCCAGCAATCCCATGTCCCTGCCCCAAAGGCCTGGAGAAAGCACCTCTTTTGAGGCAAACTCAGCCTCCTTAGGGTGCTTGGTGAGGGCTTGGCAACATATCCCCAGATCCAAAGAGAATGAGAAGGAACTAGTTCCAGGATGGGGCCTGTATGGTGGGAACATGGTCAGAGTTTACACACACACAAGCTGGACCCACATTGTCCATTACTACATGCCCATTGTCTCCCAAGCTGAGGCCACTGCAGACCTTAGCCCTACTTAGGACTCAGCCTAAATGGCTGGGCAACTGCAGCTACACACTGACCTCCTTGCTCATGAGCGTGAGGGGGACTATCCAGGCCAGAGAAGCCCTCCCCAGCCCAGCCCTCCCTCTTCCAGCTGGCATGAACATGAGCCCTGTCTCCAGACTGAAGAAGACTTGGGCCAAAGTGAAGACAGCCAAGTTTTTCATCCTGGAGGTAAACAAGGTTGCTGGGCTAAGGGGTTCAGCCAGCCGGCCCATGAAAAGAGGTGCCCAAATGCCTCCCTGTCTTCTTCCAGCACCAGATGGACCCAACAGGGAATTTCTGCAACTACAGGACAGCCTTGCGAGGGGCAGCCCACCGCTCCCTGACTGCCCACAGCAGCCGGGAGAAGGTAGGTGAGAATCCTTGATGGTCAAAGTCCAGGTGTGCTGTATCAATGGGTTAGTCAGCTTTCTGTTACTATAACAAATAGCTAAGATAATCAACTTATAAAGAGAAAAGATTTATTTTGGCTCAGTTGTAGAGGTTTCCTTCTATGATAAGTTTTGAGTCTATGGCAGTGGTGAAGGAAATCCACTCATCTCATGGCCAGGAGCCAAAGAGAGAGGATGAAGAGGGTAAAGCTTCACAGTCTCCTTCAAGGTCATATCTCAGTGACCTAAAGGCCCACAGCTCTACCACCTCCTCCCCCGGGGGTAAGCCTTTACCACATGGACATTTGGGGGACAGTTGTGATCCAAACTACAGCAATCAGGGAATCTGGAGGTTGACTCAAAGATCACAGGGTCCAACCCCTTCCCTTCAGCAGCATCTATGATAGATAGCCATGTCACCTTGCTTGCATGCCGTCAGTGTGGCCAACTTCGCCACCTCCAAAACAGGTCATGCCCCACCCCAAGAAGCTCTGATGCCTTGAACTTCCTTGATAAGTGCTTCCTTGTGGGGCCAGACTTGGCCACCTCAGATCACATTCTCTTAAAGGGAACTACTCCCTCTTCTAGCTACCAGTCCTTTCACAGCCTGCGTGTCCCCACCATTGTTTGCCTCAATGGACAGTCCCAAGCCTAACTTGCGATTCCAGTCCCCTCCCTGCTATGACCCTGAAGAGCTCCATCTGTCAGAGTCCCTTCTGTTTCAGATCAAATTGTAGCTCCAAGCACAGAGGGTTTTACATCTGCCTTATTCTAAATGTAGTACCTCTATGTATGTGGCCTTAAATCACATTTTTGGCTTTGGCAATGACTATCCTAGGTTCTTGTTCACCCAAACTGCCTTTTCACAAGAAATGTCGTATACATTTGCATTTGGGAGGGCCTTTGCTGATCCTGATCAATTTTATTTCTCCTCTAAATTCTCCGATTGGCCTCTGATAGAGGATACTGTACTGAGGTCCTAGGATTGCAACAATCATCTGGCTTAAAACTTGTCATCAAGTTTTAAGGAAGGAAACACCAAGACTTGTACCTTTCAAATCTGGTCTCTTGCAGGAACGTTGGTGGAATCAGGTCCCTACTGTGGTTGGTGGAGGTCTTATCTCCATCCTGAGAGATAACTAAAGGGAAAAATGCTAGATGAAATTCTACATCACTCTGGAATTGTATTGGATGGATACCAGTGGTCAAGTTTATGAAGCAGGCTGAAAAATATGTGCTTGTGCCACCCACCAGGACTTCCTGACCATCCACCCAGTGGGTCTTACAGCAGGGGTCACATGAGCAGACCCTGATGGCCATATGCTACCCAGCTGGTCCTTCTAGTACAGGCTGTGAGTTCTTCAGTGAATGAGTCCCAGGAGGGCTGATGGAATGCGGTGGAGCATTGAGTGAGGCAAGACCTCCAACCCCAGAGCAAAGGAGCCTGTCTCCTAGAAGCCAGAAATCCAGGAAGTTGGGATAGCAAGGGCAAAAATTTAACTTCACTGAGCACCTACCATCTGCAGGCCACTTGATCTCTATCCCCTCCTCCATTCTATGGGATGGGCTTCAGCATTGCCATTTCCCAGATTGGAAGACTGAGTCTCAAGGAGAGCTCACTGTCCTATCACATTGTGAGCTAAGCCAGGAATCAAACTCTAACCTCTCTGGCTCTGAATCTCATGGTCTTTGCATATCATTGTCTGTCTCCCTGTTCCCAGAACACAAGTGACCATATGTGACAGTCACAAGGTTCCTCCTGGCTTACAGCCCAGGAGTTGGACCCTGAAGCAAAGGTATATACACATTGGATTTTGAGCTGTGGCTGCAGCCTCTAGTTTGCAGCACTGGCTGTCCCCATTACTTTTCTTCCATCCATGCTGAGGCAGGGTAGCAATGGAGCAGGGCAGACTTTATGTTCCTAAAATCTGGGGTGCTGGGATATTGTGCATTTAGGTCTTGTGCTATATATAGGTGGATGACTTTAAAATGTGCATTTAGTTTTAACTGCATTCTCCTCTATCTTCCAGAGAGACCATAGGCTAAGACCAGAGAAGAAACCTTTCTATGGGCTCTCCCTTCAGAAAACAGAGCAATGATGCTCTGCTCTTGGTCTCATCATAAGTGCATCAGGATGGATCTTTAGCATCAAGAAAGACAGGATGACAAACTACTAAGTACTTTTTAGAAAAGAAAACAGGTCACAAAATTTTAGAATATTTGACTTACATATGTTTCAGGAATGTTTAATAGTGTGCTTAGCATGGCCTCTGCTCCCAGTACACTTAAGAGAAAGGCCTGTAGCCCTCCAGATGGGGATGTTGTGAGGTTTCTACCAGCCCCTCCCGGCAGGTAATAGAAAAAAACATCCAAGGGTCACTGTGACTCTGCATCTTGCACCTAACCCAACGCAGGGTAAATGGCACTGCATGCAGTGGGAGCTCCATCAGCACTGGTGCCCAATGGGCCTGGGAGGAAACGTAATCTGGCCCAGAGTTATGGGGCCTGTATGTCCTTGATTAGTGGTTTTCATGTTGTCCCCATGATGCATATTAGTTAAAATTATCCTTTGTTATGATTTGGATCTTAAAAGTCTTCCAAAGGCTCTGTATGCTAAAGGCTTGGTCACTTGGTCACCAACCATGGTGCTACTGGGAGATGGTGGGACCTTTAGAAATTGGGACCTAGTAGGAGAAAGCAGATCATTGGGGGTGTGCCCTTGAAGGAAATATTGGACCCCCAGCCCATCCTTTCTTTTGCTCCACCATGTAGCCCCGCCATGGTGTTCTGCCTCACCACAAGCCCCAAAACAACAGAGCCAGCTGATATTGGTTGCAACCTCTGAAACCATAAGCCAAAATAAACCTTTTCTACTTTTAAGTCATTTATCTCAGGCATTTTATCACAGCAATGGAAAAGTAAGTAATAGTCTTATACAATTCATGAAGCCCCGAGGCTGGTTGGGCTTGCCCAGGAAGTCTCTCCTGTCATCAGCATTCAGGGGTGCATCTGAGGTCCCTGGGGCATGTGTCTACTGGCAAGGTTGCCTCCTGCCCTTGAGCCAACCCTACGGGGAGGCTGCCTGGGAGCTGACCCAAACCCTCTCCCTTCCAGATCGTCATTCCCTTCTTCAGCCTACTCATCAAAGACATCTATTTCCTGAATGAGGGATGTGCCAACCGCCTTCCCAATGGACATGTCAACTTTGAGGTAGGACCCAGGGACCTTGGAAGGGAATGCAACCAAGTGAGATCAGCCACTAAAAGTGCCCCCCAAAAAGCCTGCTGGACCCTCAATCATCAAACTAATGGGGGACCTTGAGGCAGACAGAGTGTAGTAGTTCTCAGGATCTCCCCACCCCCACATCCACCAGAGGGGGATTCTGAAGCCCATGCACATGTGGATAATGCACTCTGTGCCGGGGCTTATGCCCAGCATGGGTGAAGCCAAATCATTTTTGCCCCTTGAGGAGCACAAGGGCAATAAGAAAAATAGCCCCATAGGCCCATGGTGACAACTGCAAAGGGCTGTGACAGGGCTACACAAACACACAGTGCTTAGGAAACAGGAAAGGACCCAAAGGAGCAGCAGGGGTGAGCTGTTAGGCAGAGGCCAGAGTGGGCAAAAGAGAAGAAAGAATTCTGCTCCCTTGGTAGACACCACGGTCAGCTCAAGTGTCCCCTCCTCCAGGAAGCCCATCACTGTGACCTCTTAAGGGCTCCTGCAGAGCAGCAGATAGCATCCCTCACTTTGTCCCAGCACCCAAGTCTCTGAGTACCTCAGAAGCAAGGCCAGGCTGATTGCTGTGTCCCAAGTAGGCCCATCTCACACACATGTGTGTCAGAGTGACTGGTGGGCTAGAGTACACTGGGCAGTAGCAGCAGGAGGTCACTGAGTCAGACTGACAGAGCATACCATGTGGTAGTGTTACCACCCACTCTGCAGGAAGGAAGGGACTCTTCTTCTCAAGAGCCAACTCTACCCTAGTGCTAGCCCCAGCAGGGACACAGATGGATGCAAAAGCCCTCAGCCTCCAACTCCCCAAGGGGAAGTAAGTCCTGGGCCAGTCACTTGCTCTTTATGAGCCTCAGTCTCTCCCTCTGTAAAATGGGGCATCAACTACAACTATGGCTACACAGAGAGGCTAGGAAGAGGAGATGTGCATCATGAGCCACCAAAGGCTCTGAGTGTCCCCTGCTGATGAGCACCAGAGCACATGCCTGGGCCCTTCGGCCTGGAGCTGCCCTCTGCACAGACACCCCTGCAGACCATCACATGCTGCCCATAGCCTGCTCACTCCTGAGAGCCAGCAGAGCTTGGGGAAAATCCAGTCCAATCTGGCAGGTGGTCCACTCCCAGCTGCTGCACCCCTGGGGATCAGCCCAGGCTGAAGGCCACATGGATGAGACTGCAGGGGCCCAGGCAGCCTAGAGTGAAATTTTACTCCGCAGGTGACCCTGACACACAAACCAGTGTAGGATACCCTGTTTTTTGCCCTTCTTGAATTGGTCCTCAAAACCAAGGCAAGGGGTTGGGGTAAAATTGCAACTCATGTGACCACCACAGATCCGGAAAGCAGGTACTAGGAACCAGACATGGCTGCCAGGGCTGATCAAGGGGTATCATAGAGCTGGGATCCCCACCCAAGAGTGTCTTTGTGCTGCTATTTATTTAACAACCTTCTTAAAGTTGGCATGGTTTTTAAAATTAAATGCACATTACAATGAGGCTTCCAGATCCACAGATTCTGCATCCACAATCTTACCACCTGTAATCCTAGGAACTTGGGAGGCTAAAGCAGCCTCCCAAGCTAAGGCAGGAGGGTTGCAAGTTAGAGGCTAGCCTCAGCCACTTAGCAGGGCCCTAAGCTCCTCCTCAAATCCCTGAAATCACTAAAGGGTGAGAAGCAAGGGTTTCTCAGGGCTGGCCACTCACACTCACAGGGAACTTTAGGCACTGTGGGTACCTCCATTTTTGTGTCTCTGTGTGACCCTGGCAGAAATTTCTGGAACTGGCCAAGCAGGTTGGAGAGTTCATCACATGGAAACAAGTGGAATGTCCTTTCGAGCAAGACCCCAGCATCACCCATTACCTGTACACTGCTCCCATCTTCAGCGAAGACGGTAAGGTGACCTTGCAGCCTTCCTAACCCCCTCAGGCCATGGGACTCTTGGATGGCCTCTTAGTCACCATGCAGGAACCTCTACTCTGAACAGGAATGCACCATCCCCACCCTTACTGGCCCTCAAATGGAGCAGAGAAGACTGCATTACCCAGGATGGCCAACTGTCCCCTCGGGAACACAGGATAGATCCCAGGAGCCATGGGCTGGGGCCTCAAGGACCCCCAGGCCCAGGCTTCTCCCTGGATACAGTTTGGACACTGTTGGGTATTATAAGTCTCAACCATCTGTCTATATTACCCCATTTTTCTCATTAGTTAAGTGGGAGTGAGGGTAAGAACTGGGGCTCACATGGGGATGGCTAAGCACTGACTCACTCTGGGTTTTTCCATGGCTGGTGCATGTGTATGTGTGTGTAAGTGTGTGCTGGTTTGGGTGTGTAATACACACTGACATGATATGAGTTGACTCTTCTGCAGAGTGCTATTAACGTCTGTCTATCCCTTCCAGTAAACACACATTCCCATCTAATCACTTGTCACAAATCAGTTTGTTTGCAAATTTGCTAAGTAGTAAACCCTGAGATCCCCCTTTCAGAAAGTGAAAGCTCTAAAGAAGGCAACTGTCAGGTTGTCATCTGATGTGGGGGCAGTGTGGCCCAATGCTTAGCAGCTCTCACCCTGGGATCTGCCCTCCACTCCAGCACACAGGAAACCTGGCTCATCTTCACCAGCAAGCAGGTTACAAAGGAACCAACAAACATCTGTGTCTGCGGAACATTTACTGCCCCACCAAAGGGAAAAAAAAAGAAAATTAGGGAGAAGTCCTTTTTTTTAATGATTTTGCCTTTGGATACTTCCAACTTTGCCATGTTACTTTTCATATTTGGGACCCAGAACTTGCTGAAGGGAGTTCTACCTATATCTGTAGCCTCCTAACACTTACTTCCATCAAGAAACAGAGCAAGCTGGGTATGGTGGTACACACCTGTAATCCTAGGAGCTTGGGAGGCTAAGGCAGGAGGGTTGCAAGTTAGAGGCTAGCTAGCCTCAGCAACTTAGCAGGGCCCTAAGCAAATTAGTGAGACCCTGTCTCAAAATTTAAATTTTTTTTAAAAGGCTGGGGATTTGACTCAGTGGTTAGGTACCAGGTGTTCAATCCCTTGTACTGCTCCCCCCACACCCCACCATGAAAAAAGGGAAGCTGAACAGTTGATGGATAAACCAGCCCAGGCTGGTTCACACAGGGGTCTGTATGAACTCAGGTATCACCTTCTCTAAGCCTCACCTATTTCCTCTATCAAGTGAGGTAATGAGAGAACCTTCTTCCTGGGGCAATGATGAGAATTACTTGAGTTGAAAGAGGTAAAACCCACAAGTCTGTACTCAATCAATGCTAGTCTACAGTACTTCCCTCTATTCACAGAGGATATGTTCTAAGATCTCCAGGGGATGCCTGAAACTGAATAAATCCAAATTCTATATGTGCTATATTTTTCCCTACATATACATACACAAATAAAATACCTTTTTCTTCACATCATGCACTGTGGCCATAATTTTTGCAGTTTAAAGTGTGATGGCAAAACTAGCACAAATTTCTTTTTCCTTGTTCACAATTTTACAGATGGAAGATTTGTTCCTACCACAGATCTTAGCAACCTCAGCATATGATTTTTTTTTCCTTTCCTTGTTTAGTGAAATCATTCCCCTTTGCATTTAAAGGAAGCATTTTACAACCTTTGGCATATTCAAATTACCAGCACCCCTACTCTTGTGATTTAGGGCCATTATTAAGTAAAATAAAGATTGCTTGAACACAAGCACTGTGATTCCATGACAGTTGATCTGATAACCAAGAGAGCTACTTGTGTTAGTCAGCTTTTTTGTTGCTGTGACCAAATTGCCTAACAAGAACAACTTAGAGGAGGAAAACTTCCTTTTGACTTACAGTTTCAGAGATTCAGTTCATAGATGCCCGACTTCATTGCTTTAAGCCCAAGGTGAAGCAGAACATCATGGTGCAAGGGCATGGCAGAGGAAAACTGCTCACCTCATAGCATTCAGGAAGCAGACAGGGAATAGTGAGGATCCAGAGACAAAATATAAACCCCAAAGACATACCCTAGTGACCCACTTCCTCTGGCCATGCCCCCACCTGCCTAAAGTTACCACCCAGTTGGTCCATTCAAATGATAATCCATCAAATGGATCAGTATACTGATTAGGCTGTGGCTCTCATAGTTGAATCATTTCACCTTCTTCATTAACACAGGAGTTTTGAGGGATACCTCATATCCAAACCATAATGTTGCTAAGTGACTAACAGGTGGGTAACACATATAATGTGGATACACTGGAAAAAGGAATGAGTCATGTACCAGGAAAAATGAAGTGGGATGGCATGAGATTTTATATTACTCAGAATGGCATGTAATTTGAAACTTATAAAATGTTTACTTCTAGAATTTTCCATTTAATGCATTCAGACCATGGTTGACCATGAGTAACTGAAACTTCAAAAAAGAAAAACAAAGATAAGGAGGGACAATTGTATTAGGTTCCTATGGACACTAAAACAAATCACCACCAAGTTGGTGGCTCAAAACAACCACAAACTTATCCTTATGCAATTCTGGATGTTGGATGTCTAAAATCAGTTTCACTGGGCTAAAAATCAAATTATCAGCAGGTCTAGTTTCTTCTGGAGGCTATGGGGCTAGGGTGGGAGGGATCCATTTCCTGGCCTTTTTCTAGTGGCTGCCTGTATTTCTTGGCTTGTGGCCCCTTCCTCTTTCTTCGGAGCACATCACTTCAATCTTTGCTTCCAACATTGTATCATCTTTTTTCACCTATAGTCAAATCTCCCTCTGTCTCCCTCTTATAGGGATTTGTGCTTGCATTTAGGGCCCAATCAGATGATCCAAGATAATCTCCCCATCCCCCAAATATTAATTTAATCACATCTACAAAGTTCCTTTTTGCCATACAACATAACATTCTGGTCCTAGGGGTTAGGACCTGGGTTTCTCTGGGAGCAATTATTCATCCTCAACCAAATATACTAGTTATTATGATGATTATTGTCATTAGCCAATCACCTCATAGTGGAACTTGGGCAATGAAATGTGTCAAAGGTACATGAGAAGGGGTTGGCATTGTGGCTCAGGGGGTAGAGCGCTCACCTAGCACATGTGAGGCACTAGGTTCAATCCTCAGCATCACATTTTTTAAAAAAAGGTACATGAGAAGAGGGGCAGAGGTAAACAGTATTTCTTGAGACCCTGCAATGTGCTTGGCAGTGAGTCAGTAGTGAATATATTAATAAAACCCCAGCACTATTAAAAAAGTACTGAAGTTCTCAAAATTAGAAAAGTTCTCAAAATTAGAAAAGACAAACCTACAGATTCAAAAGGTTGAATGAAGCACAAAAAGGATCAACCCAAAAAAACCCATACCAAAGCACATCACAGTCAAACTTCTGAAAACTGAAGAAAAAAATAAGAGAGAGAGGGGTGGGGGTGGGGGGAGGAAGGGGGAGGGAGAGAGGAAGGGAGGGAAAGCAGGAGGGAAAAACAAATTTTGAAAAAAAGACAATGGGGGGAAAACAAGCTGAATGATATCAGATCTCTCATCAGAAACTATGGAGGCCAGAAGACAGCACCCTATATTTCAAATGCTGAAAGAAAGGAACTAACAGTCAACCTAGAATCCAGTATCCAGTGAAAATATCCTTCAGGAATTTACTATAGGCAAATCAAAATGAAATTCTAAAAGTTGTTGGTGTAACAAATAGGAAGAGAAGAAAAATAAAACAGAAAAGCGAAACACGAAAAAAGCAGAAAACAAATAAATAATAAAATGGCAGACTTAAGCCCTAACATACCAATAATTACATTAAAGGCAAATGGTCTCAATACACTGAGTGAAAGACAGAAGTTGGCTTAGTGGATTTAAAAAACTTCCAAGGAAAGAACTTTTAAAATACCAAACTATATGTTGTCTTTAAGAAGCTCACTTCAAATATAATGATGTAAGTATATTGAAAAACAAAAGAATGGGAAAATACTTACCATGCAAACATTAATCAAAGGAAAAACAGAAGTGTAAATATTGATATCAGATAAATTATATAATAATGAAAAATCAATCCCTCAAGAAAACATAACAATCTTAAGTATGTATCTGACAAACAGTAGGGCTACAAAATTTGTGAAGTAAAGCTACTTGAAAGGAGAAATAAATTGAAAAGTAATTGGGACTTCAAGACCAACAAGACAGAAAATTAGCAAAGACAAAGGACTCAATAGCACCATTAAATAAGATCTAATCAACATTTTTAGAACACTCCAAGGTACTAATTTTTTTCAATTGCCTACAGAATATAAACCAATATTTACTATATCCTGAGCCATAAAACAAAGCACAACCAATTTGAAGTAATTGAAATCATGAGTAGTAGGTTCTGCAACCACATTGGAATCAAATTAGAAATCAGAAACATAAGACCACAGGAAAGTCGCCAAACATTTAGAAACTAAACAAAACACTTCTGTGTGGTGGCATTCACCACAATCCCAGTGGCTCAGGAGGCTGAGGCAGGAGGATCACAAGTTTAAAGCCAGCCTCAGAAACTTAGCAAGGCTCTAAGTGACTTAGCAAGACCCTGTTTCAAAATAGGAAAAAAAAAAAAAAAAAAGACTAGGGATCTGGCTCAGTGGTTGAGTGCCTCTGGATTCACTCCCTGGTACCAAAATAAATAAATAAATAAATGTTTAAAAATAAAATCACACTTCTAAATAATTCATGAGTCAAAAAAAGACTCAAAGGAAATAAAAAAAGTAATTGAACTGAATAAAAATACAAACAGAATTTGTGGGGTACAGCTAAAGCAGGACTGAGAGGGAATTTCATAGCACTGAATATACACAGTAGAAAAAAGGAAAAGTTTCAAATCAATAATCTAAATCCTAATCCAAAATTTTAGAAAAAGAGGAGCAAAATAAGCCCCAAGATAGCAGAAAAGAAGGAAAAAAACAACACTATCTCTGGCAAGTAGAACAGAATGGAACTCTCCAATTTATTTATTTTTATTTTTTTTAAAGGAATAAATTTAATTATAAATATGAACAAAATGTCACATTTATTTCAATCTTGTAGAAAACCTGGTTAAACCTCCCAGAGGATCCCTCTCTGTGTCACAACATCATCATCTTTGTGACAGATTTCACATTTATATCAGGGGGTAATGACTAAATTGCTGCTCAGGGAAGTGGTATTTGGCTAAGGGGAAAAATTTGGTACCGAGAGAAAGATGTGTGACAACCAGAATACCTAGGTCAGTTTCTGACCCGAGTAATAGAACACCAATTACATGATTAATCAACATATTTCCCTATACCTTGGCAGAAAAGTGGCTGTGGCTAATCCCAAATGAGACACACTGTAGAACAGAATTTCCAACTCATGGAAAATTTCTCCCATATGTGTCCCCCCAAAAAATAAAATATAATAAAGGAAATGGAAAAGTGCTTTATGCCAAACACATATCAGATAATGAGATAATGAAATGCACACATCTTCTGAGGGAAAAAAGATGCTATTATATTCCATTGAGAGACATAATGTATCAAGAACTAAAAGCCTTCTTTCCATGCCATAATTTTCTTCGAAAATATTCTGGAAGCATTATGCCACTGTAAAATATACCCATTAAGACTGATATTATCTACAATAATCTGAAAGACTACAGGTTGAACTGTCATGTAATTCTTCCCATATGTTCTCTCACATAATAAGAGAATGACAAGATTTCTCCAATTTATTTTATTTAGCCAGTTGTCTTAGTTCAGGCTGATATAACAAAATACCTTAGGCTGGGTGCTTTAAAAATAATAGAGATTTATTTCATACAGTTCTGGAGGCCAGGAAATTCAAGCTTAAGGTGCCAGCGGATTCAGAGTCTGATGAGAGTTGGCTCTCTGCTTCCAAGATGGCATCTTCTTGCTGCATCCTCATGTAGAGAAGGATGGCAGAAAGTCAGTAAGGCTGAACTCACTCCCAAGCCCTTTTATAAGGTCAGTAATCCCATTCATGAAGATGGACCCCTCATGGCCTACTCATGGGGTTCCCCATCTTCATGTTTTTACATTGGAGGATTAAATTTCAACATGAATTTTGGAGGAACACAAACAGTCAAACCATAATACTTCATATTGACCTTATATTAAAACCAAAGATAGTGTGAAAAGTAAAATGTAGACCAAAATCTCCCATGAACATAGATAGAAAAATCCTTAACAAAATATTAGCAAGTAAAATTCAGAAATATATGAAAATAATCATGTATCATGACCAAAGCTCTTCAATGTTTGAAAGTCAATTGATGTGATCTATTATATTAAATATCTAAAGAAGAAAAATTACATGATTATATCAATCAATACAGAAAAGTGTTTGACAAAGTTCTACCCCTATTCATGGTAAATAAAAAGTTATCAGGTAATAATAACAGAGCAGAATTTATCAACTTGATAAATTACTTCTACAAATAACCTTATAACATCATATTTAATAGTGAAAGACTAAATGCTTTCCTACTAACTCTCACCAAACTTTGAATCTGCTGGCAGCTAAGATGAATAACAAGGCAAGGAATGTTCTGTTCCCTAGTTAGTCAACATAGTTAGTGTAATAAGGCAAGAAAAGAAAACAACAGATCATAAAGGGAAAAAAAAATCACACTATCCATATTTGCAGATGATGATATTTTTTTAAAAAATTCAAGGAATCTACAAAAAGTCCTAGAGCTGCCAGGCATGGTGGCACACACCTGTAATCCCAGTAATTCAAAAGGCTGAGGAAAGATAATCTCAAGTTCAAAGCCAGGCCCTAAACAACTTAATGAGATCCTGTCTCAAAATGAAAAGTAAAAAGCATTTAGGCACCCCTGGTTTCAATCCCTGATACCAAAATAACAACAATAACAAGGCTGTCATTATATAGTGGCAAGTAGAACAGAATGGAACTCTCCAATTTATTTTATTGTAATCAAGACAGTGTCATACTGCGAGAGGAGACAGACATAAGGATCAATGCAGAAGAACAGAGAACCCGGAAACAGACTCACACAAATGTACCCAAGTGGTTTTTAACAGAAGTGCAG